CATTTTCGAAAAACAAACTTCCATTTTCGTAAAACAAACTCCCATTTTCGAAAAACAAACTCCCATTTTCGAAAACCAAACTCCCATTTTCGAAAATCAAACTTCCATTTTCGTAAAACTAACTCCCATTTTCGAAAAACAAACTCCCATTTTCGAAAAGCAAACTCCCATTTACAAAAAAAAATACCATTTTTAAGAAGTGGATGTCCCTTTGGGGCTTCCGTATGGTGAAGTCTCAAAATGACCCCGCGGTTAAAGCTAATCTACCCGCCAGCTCGTAATTCGCTGGCGCAAAGACCCACATAGGGCGGAAATCAAATCCAGGCTGCTCGCCTAACGTGGGCTGGCCTTTCAGGTTGTTCCAAGTATTTGTTGGTGCAAATTCAAAGCCTGGACAAAATTATCTTTCTACGAAATTTTTTGAACTGCTGAACTATGAGAACATCTGGTCGTTTGCAGTAAAATATACTTCCCCTGTTCAGTCTGTACGTCTTACTTAATTTAGTTCTTTAAGCTATTGCCGGTCGGTTGGAAAAACTTCTGTAGCTTCAATGTTTTGATTTAATACAGTGCTTTTACTTCTAGGGCAGTCGCCGATTTCAACCACTTCGACAAGAACTTCGCCACACCACCACCCCAATATGACGACGAAACTACCCACAGAGCGACCCACAGAGCGACCCACAGAGCGACCCACAGAGCGACCCACGGCACCACCCACACCGTCTGAAGGTTTGTTTTACATTTTGATGTTAAAGTAACCTGTTTAGAGCTCGGTTAAACTGCATCTACAACTTCCGGAGCTTTAAACACAGGCAAATATTTACAGAGAACTTACCAAATCAAGTTGGCTCATTGTGTGTTTCAAAAGAGCATAGTTGTTATAGTAAGTTTACAAGGAAGGTCAGCCAGTCCTTATTGCAGAGACAATGTATTAGCTTAACTTGTTAACAATTTGTCGTAATTTCTTCCAAGTCATTTCCAATCAGTTGGACAAGAATGTGGATCCATGTGACGACTTTTATTCCTACGCATGCGGAGGGTTCTTCAAAACCCATCATCTCAGTGCGGAACAGAGTAGCGAGACTGGCTTCACTATCGTGAACGACGACAACATGGAGGTTTTACGACAAGCTATGGAGACTGCTGCCTCGAACTATTCAAAGGTTTGGCACGAGTAGTCTAGGACGCTTAACCAGATGCAAACCAACCAGAACGTAGAATGTTTGGAATGGATCAATCAGAAAGCCGGATTTGCTCATCTACACTAAAACATAGCTGACTTGAAATTTTGCTAGTTTTCACTGTAACGCCATCAAAACTAAAAATCGTGACCACTCAATAAATTGAGTGAAGAATCTGGATGTGATAGATGACTGACATGTAAAAATAGACTTTACTAAGATTTAGGTCTGTGCGGGTTTTCATTCCGGCGTTATTTGAAAAGTGTTGTAGGCAAATTTGCAGGGCTTTGCATTTATACAGGTTGGTATGTGCCAGTTGTATATTGAACTGATACGTCTTGTAGTTCAAGAACCAATCAGATTGATGGCGTGACAGTGAAGACCAGCATGATTTGGTTCAACTGATTAAGGCTTGTTAAATGCCATCTTGTCTTGTAGAGTTCATCTATCGTGAAAACTGCCAAGATCTACGATACATGTATAGATACTGCTGCTATTGAGCGTCGAGGGATTTCGCCTTTGGAAAACTTGATAAAGCAGTATGGCGGCTGGACAGTGACTGGGGATGGAATGAACTCGTGGACAGTGACAGAGAAAATGGGCGCCGTTCTAAGAGACTTGAATGTGCAGACCTTGCTTTCCGTATCCGTTCGTACAGACCTGCAGGACTCAAACCAACACATTCTAAGTGTGAGTATAATTATAATATTTACTGCTGTGTGTTCGATTTTATTATCATGGTATGTAAATCAGCGGTGGATTGGGATTTAGTGAGGTAAGTTATGGTAAGGTTTGTTAGGGCAATGTAGATTATGGCACGTGGAAAGATAGGGTAGGGTACGATGCGGCGCTTGGGAAGGGTAGGTATGGTAGGGAAGGACAAGGTAAGATTTGGTAGGGTAGGGTTGGGTTAGCCAGGTTAGTCAACAACAACGTCGACAATAAGATTTATTTACATAGACATAAATTCCTACAACATTGCGAAAGCGTAAGATAATTAAATAACTTCAATAAATGCTATACCACAAAAAAAAAATAATAATAATAAAATAAAAAAAATAAGAACACAAAAACTAACAGCACTTACAAGAAAAAATGACACTGAACAAAAGTTTGAGAATAATTCGTCTCGCATATTATTATATTAGTTGGATTGCATTGTTTTAGATGTAACATATCAAATACGAGAGACAGTGTTTGACCACATTTCCAAACTGACCGACAAGAGAGTTGAAATTAAACGCTTCGGAGTATATTTGACTGGCTTTGAGGTGTTTGATGTATCTTCTCAATGGAAACTTAAATTGAGGAGAATACGAAGAAATAAAATCGTAAAAATCTTTGCCAACTAAGGTCATATATCCAAACACCTTCACGGTCTTGATTTTCCTTGTTTAAACTTGATGAATTATCTACGCGCTTACATCATTGAATCATGAATTTCTTGACTAGAGTTAGAGTGAATTGAGAGCCGGTCGCGCGATCGAAATGGCTAACTAAAGTTGTTTATGATGACCTCAGTTAATAATAGCGTTGATGCGACCAGAGCCAGTATAACAATAACAACAAGCAGCTTTATTTCCATGACTTTAATTTATGCGACTTAGAGAAACAGAAAATAACAATAATGTGAGAAAAAAGAAAGAAGCAAATCAAGTGCAAATTTGCACATCAGTGCAAATTTGATAATACATTTCTGCGTAAATCTAAGCACGTGGAAATTCAGCAGAATTCATTAATTTCTTGGTAGCTTCTCCATCTGTTGGAGACAATTATTGAAAGGGTAGGGAAGGCGGTGTAGGGCATGGTATGATGGCATCATGAATTCCACCTGGAATTTCTAAAGTAGAGTAACTTACTCATCTTCAAGTCTATTTTCATTCTTGTCTTGTGTTGTTGTTGTTTTTTCAGATCAGTTTCTCCTCGTTGGGACTGGGTATTGGCTATTATTTTGATTACTCAAGTGAGGGCGTAAAGGTTTGTAAGAAAGATTTTATTATGGGTCGCAAGTCGTCGGGGAAATAATCGAACTCGTGTCGGTGAATGAAATTAAAGTCTGTATGAGCGTAGAAAAGGTGTGATATTTAAGTGAAATTTAAACAAAACTAAAAGTACCTAAGTACAAAATATCGCTGGTAAGTACAGTTACAGAGCTTACACTCTATGCATGCTGCAGTATATAACTCCATGATTCTTCGTTCATAATCGACCTAGCAATAATAACTTTTACAAGTGAACTAAAAACTGCGAATATCACCGATTTTGAGGCTTATAAGCCTCGCGTCACTTTGTCATTCAATCAGTAATAAACCCAAAACAATTCGCGACACGCTCGGACACATTTGCCCGCGCTTTACATCGTCTGCGTCGGATACTTTGAGGTTTGATTCATTAACTCGATTCTGTGTAATTTGTGATTGTCAGAGTGATAACTTTCCTTCTATAACAAAAGCCGTTTTTGTCATTATTCAAACTACAGATCCGGGAGGCTTACAAAACATACATGAAAACCATAGCATGTCTTCTTGGAGGAGGGGTGGATTCCTATCGGAAGATGATGGATATCTATGATTTTGAGGCCAAAATTGCTCAGGTAAATTTATGAAAATCTGCAATTTAGCATTGATAGGTTAAACTAGTTGACAAAATAACGTTGGTGTTTACTGTGAAATGAACAAAGACTTTAAGAGTCACTGACTGGAAATATCGACAATGGCTGGCCAGGTTGGAAAAATCGAAAATCCTGAAACTTTGCCTAAAGAACGCTTTTAGGGAGCCACTTTCGAAAATAGTATTCCGATTTTCTTAGAATTTAAAGTCTTCGAGAAATTCGCAAAAAACGAAAATATAGCTTTTTGCCTCATTAAATGTACAAAAAATATCTGGAAAATTGACAAAGTTC